CATAGAGCTGCTGCTCTGAAACCAAGCTAACTTTCTTACTTTGTTAGATGCCACACTGCAGCCAGATCCCATGCTGATAATACTCATCACTTCAGAAGCACAGGGTACACGGACTGCATTCCAACAACACCATTGCCTTTGGCCTTAGCCTTACAAGAGAAAAGCAAATTATACTTCAGCTTTGGAGAAATGTGAAGTACCCACTGTGAAGCAGTGGCTCAATGAAATGTGTGATACCTCACACTTGGGATTAGGTACAGTCTCAAGGACAAACTTAAATGACTAGAAAGTTTGGTCTCCCTTTGTCTCCCTTTTGGAAGAGGTTACAGATCAGCGCTGGTGATTATTCTCTTAAAGGAAATGAAAAGGCTGAGTAGCCAGGGAATATTATGTTATTTTGATACTCTTTTTATTATGCTCTTTTAATATGTTTGTCCATTAGACAGTCTGCCCACAAGCCTGTGCTGTTACAGTATGTGCTTATGTGCCAAAACAATCTTCAAGAAAGTTGCAATTGTCATTTCAGTAGTAGTGATGGAAGTAGAAGTAGTATCTGCTACTGTATTATTTACACCTGAAGTGATATAATCCACAGAAGATTCCCTCAGAAGTGAGGAGTTGGATTTTCTCTGCTTGGTCTAAAAGCAAAATGGGAATAAGGTAGTTGGCCACCAGGAAAGCTAAAAATGCAGACTCCATTGAAAATCCAAGGGAAATGACCCCGTGATTGACCTCTGATTATCAAGTGACCTTTAAAGACTGTGATATAAAAAAAAGAAGAAAAGAACCTAATGTGCCGGAGGAAAGTTACATGGCAGTAAAAAGACTAAACAAGAGGGGAAATAAGACTGAATCTACTTTAAAGGATTCTCTCCAGGCATGTTCTAAAACATATCAAATCATCACACTTGCATACACTGCAGAGATTTAAGGTGAGCACTTTTCCCCCTTCAGCAGATAAATGTGCAAACAAACTCTGCGCAGACATCATTGTGCTCAGTGAAGCTCAAGCACCCAAGTAAGTCAACAATAGGAAAAACACATTTTCGACTGGAGAGGGACTTTAACAAACACATGCATTTTGTCAAGATGAATGAATCCATAAAGCAAAAATAGCTTCATTAATGTAATTCTTCCTCAGCGTATTTCTTTGTTTGCGCAATGTTTTTGTGACACTTGTCACGATGATTGTGTCAAAACCACGGCAGCAAGAGAGAGAAAGAGAGAATGTTAGTGTGGGAAAGAGAGAGGGTACATATGGAGGAGGAGGAGGAGGAGCAGAGAGGTGTGAAACTCAAGTTTATGCATATAAAATGTGCAATTAAGTCTCCACTCATTTAGAATATTGAATGAATGTGGTTCTTTTTTTGTCACTGACAGAATGGAGAGAAAAAGAAAACTCTATGTGGGTGTGCTGTGTATTTAATATGGAAATCTGGCAAATAAGGCAAATTTATGCCCCTAAATATTCAGTGTTAAACTGACCCCAAAATGCACTGGCTGTGCAGTGTTCACCGTTCACTGACCACCTCCTGCTCCATCTTGGCATATGTGTCAACCATCAACAGCTGTGTGTGCAGCTCACATTCTCTCCTCAAAGTGAATTTTGAATCATATTATCAGTCGTACATGTTGAATACAAACCAGTGCTGCTGTTCACTAACTCAGGAATACTGCTGTTTTTTTTGTTTGTTTGTTTTGTTTAACATCCTTTAAAGCAATCTGAGCTTACATATGAGCCTGACAGACCAGTGAGGTGATTGGTTCCTTCTCATATGCCATTAGGCAGTTTCAAAAGTCGCCAAGCCGACCTGCTGATGCAGGCAGTGCAGAATATCTCAGAGGCACAGCCTCATTTCCCTGATCACCAACGCTGGCCATTAGTGCTGTGAATTTGCCATGCTAATGGCTGCTCCTTACTGCAACCTTAAATAGTTTATACCCTTATCCTCCTGAGACCTGGCAATTCATATTTGTCCTCTGTGGGGGACATGACACTGAGGCCTTTGTTCAAACACCATGCATGCAGTATATTTCAACCCTGATGAACTATGTAAAGCACATCCTGGGCTTTCTAGTGGTGTTGGTCAGACACCTATGGTGTGAACAACAGAACACATCTTAAGGTATATTTTTTCTGTTCTTCATAAGGATGATTTTGTTTGTTTTATTTACTTATGAGAGTCTTAAGTACATTATATTAAGATTCAAGAAGAATGTGTTAGTTTTAAGCTTTGTTAAATACACATTTAACCTCTCTAACTCTGCCAGGATGCCGACATCCTCGCTCCCCTCCTCCTCTGTTAAATGGTATCTCCCAGGCACACTACGTCATCAAACTATGTAATGTTTGGTATTGGCGGATTCAGGAAGCTCTCAACTCTTCAAAAATAACATCATTTTTCTTTTATTTATTATGTATTTCGCACCAGAGCAGCCTAAACACACAAAGTCCAAAATCGCAATGAGTGGTGACAAGTCATGTCATGCCGCTTTTCGACGAGAATTGTTAAAGGATTACTCGTGATCTTATGCGGAGCCGTTAGCGGGGGACTTAGCTCTTTTATAAAAGGTAAGAGTCTCACTCTTACCACTATTTTTGGCTGAGATATACCATCTAGAAAGTGGGATCATAACTTTCACGTTTCATATGGCTTTATTTGGTGATATTTTAAGGTGTTTCTGTGTCAAAAACAACATCAGCTATCATAATCACACCTGATTTCAATAAGGTACAATGTTTGAAGCTGGCTGAGTGTTTGATCACTGACAGTACTGTTTTGAAGCCAAGTGACCGACTTGTCTTTTGGAGCTCCGCCTGGATCTTTGCATGGAAAAACACTGTAGAATGGTCAGACTTTGAGCTGTGTTCTTCAAATTTGAAACAAATGTTCATTGATAGTGTGCCTACAGCCCCACGGTGTCATTTACCTGCTCAGATGAAGCCACAAACAGTTATTCATCCTGAAAAACATTTTTTTTTTTTATTTTAGGCAAAATCTTCGCTTTTTTTTTTTACTGTCTTCAGAGGCCCATTACTCTGTCTCTGTATCACCTAGAGTGTTTCTGACACTTGCACAAAAAACTTCAGGGAGTTTTCTTTCTGGCAAGACCTCATGCATGCATGTAGTCAGAGCGGTTCAGAAGCTATAGTTATTTTAATTTAGGTATGTCATTTAAGGCGTTTTTGCTACAAAATGGGGGTGGAGTACATTAAGATTTTAGAAGAATATGTTAGTTTTAAGCCTTGTTAAATACACATTTAAACCCATTGTGGGGAACAGTGGGAATCGCTTCTTGTCATTTTCAACCATGTCCCATACAGGAAATGGGAAAAACCAAACCAACCATTTCTGCCAGTGTGATGAAAAATAATAAAAAAAGATCCTGTAAGTAATTAGAATGATAAACTTTTTTGAAATATTTACTTACTTATCTCAAAACAATGATTTAATAATTAACATCTTCAAATAAAAGACTTGATTGTCTCAAATAATGAAAAACCTTCTCAAAGTACTAACTGAGAACCCTATTAAAAATAATGACTTAAAATCTAAAAATAATGACAACATTTCTCAGGTTACTGACCTAATATCTTAAAATATTAAGAAATGATATGAAAGAAATGATTATTTATTTAGTTAGTTTTTGTTTTGCTTTCATCACATTGGCAGAAAATTGCTTCCATGCATAAGAAATTAAGGGAGAAGAAAAGATTACTGACACCCAGCAACTATTTTGTATTAGAAGTGACATGTAAACCAGGGTTCTGAAGTTTTACACAGATTCTAGGAGGGGTAAACTAAAGGTTATTTGTCTATACACACACGAGCGCTATGTGTAACTAGTTAAAAGAATGGAATGCACAATATCTTCAGTGTTACATTCCTAAAAATTGAATTTATTCATGTCATTTAAATTAACTGTTACGTACTTTTTGTGGAAAAGATTGACCCAACGTCCACTACAGAGGACACATTATAAAGACACATTATTTAAAAATGATAGAATTTTTGAGAAAAAAATTTTGTGATGTTTTTCTCACATCTTAATTACTTCAATTGTGTTTAAATATCAAAATATTTTTTCTTTCAGGTCTCAGCACTCAGCCCCTAACCCACAGCTTTGCCCCCTATCCTCCAACCCACTCTGGTTCCCCCAATGTGTGACCAAAGATTTCACCCATGGTGCTGTGGTCTTTTTCCTTTGAATAGTAAAAGTAACACTGGGCTCTTGTACACTTGCATCACAGCCATTAGTTAAAATAATATCACTCTGCCAAGAAAGAAATAGATCTTCACACATAAAATGCAGAAATTAGTTGGTAGAATGGCCCTGCTGACTGTTAACAGTTTCTAGCTCCAGGCTGACTCTGTGACACTGGCTTGTTTGCCAGAAAGTAAATACAAAAGCTATAGTTAGGACTATTATAGACTGCTGCAAAACATTATACTGCACATTAAACTGAATTGCATCACGTGTTGCAAACCTAATAAGCTTATTAAGCCAAGAACATTACAGTGTGATTAGATGTCAAAGAGAGGTTTCTTATTTCACCAATAACCTCCATCAGAATCATGTGGTAATAAGTCAAACAAGAAGGTTAGTCCATGGATTACCACTTCAGCTTTACTTGTGTACTGAGTGTTCCAGGGGCAGTCGGAGGGGTTAGGTTGTGGCCAGTGTGGCCAGACACGGTTCATCTACAGCCTGGTAAGATAACAGATTCCCCATGAGACCGAGAGTCAGTCAGGCAGAACAGACATATTAACTACTGCAGCGGAAAGTAAAGGGTCATCCCAGCCAACCACTACACACAGGAGGTGAGAGGCTTGGCAGGGTGGTGGATGGAGGTGGCAGCAGTGTGTGTGAGTTAAGTGTGTGTGTGTGTGCAAAAAATCCTTCAGCGGACCTTTTCTTGAGGACTGTGTGTGAATTTAAGATGAAATATGTGAGTGTGTGTGTGTGTGTGTGTGTGTGTGTGTGTTACCCAGCCTTACCCTTTAGGTGGATCTTATTTTCCGGGCTGTGCACCAACACTGAGCTAACCGAATCCAAGCTGTCGTAGTTACTGCAGCCGAGAGGGCCTGTCCTTGTTTCGGTTACCTAGGAAACAGAGGAAGGACAGATCTATTTAAAATATATGGTTGTGTTGTTTTTTCATATAATGCCACATTAGCAGTGAATGAGGCAGATGTTTGTTCCCATTTCTGGCAGTCGAGCACACAACTTGTGGCAGGCGGCGCATGTGAAGGCAGGCGGAGGACTGGATGTGGCAGAGCCCTCTTGACAGCAGAGAAAACTATCGCCATCTTTTGCTCCACTCCCACACCTGCAGCCACAGCTGCCTGCAATGTGCTGGCTGTCTGGCAGAGAACAGTGGAAAGGAGGGAGAGACACGAGAAATGTGAGGGGGGGAGCAAGCGCAGGTGTTTGTGAAAGAAAAAGGATTTAAACTTTAAAGAGAGACAGAGGGAAGGTTGCATTAAGGCCTCGATCTGATAATAACCTTTGTTGCATGTGTGTGTTTGAAAGCAACCAGATATGAAGGTGCATCAGATATTAAAGATATCAAAGATGTTGGAGCAGACAGCATGAGATTTGATGTTTGTTCTGCATGGTCACCACAGGCAAACTTACATTGGTTGAGCAGAATTACAATTGCCTCCTCTTTAAAAATGTTTCATGGCTTTCATATAGTTTTTGCTGATTTATTATTACTAATCGATAAGAGAGAAAACAACAAGCAGAGCATGATTTATTAAATATTTTTGTTTAAATCATATCTATTGCTGATTTTTAACCTCAGAGCAGATTTAAGCCCCTGTGACTCCCACTCTGTTTGCATTGCATACCTTTCCTGCCTTGAAACACTCATTACATTCAAATGGCACACACACAGTTTGTTAGGGACACTGTGTTTTGCCCAGAATCCCAGAAACTAACAAGTGCTTCTAATCCGGAAGAGTACCCTGCCTCAGGTTTGATATCAGACAGTTTGTGGTAATTTGATTAAGTATTTAAAACTATGCACCATGTAAACTCAGTATCTACTCAATTAATCAAGCTGTTAATACTAAATTTTGACACAGGGCCCCTCCTTAAGATGGTGTTTGAAGATATAAAACAAAACATGCAGAATCTACCTTATGATTTCAGTTCATATTCTGGTACATATAACCATATTTGCAAGTAATGCTGGGTATGGAGAATATTAAATATCACAATATTTTTGACCAAATACCACAACATCGATATTGCGAGGATATTGTAGGGTTAACTGTTTTCACAAAATAGTTACACAATGAGATTTTTGATAAATAATCATCAGTAATGTGGATATAATAGCCCTTTTTAAATAGGAATCGTGCAAATTTGCAGGAAAGCCCAATCAGTCTTCTTTCAGCATTGGCAGTATAAAAACAAAATCGGGGAGTGCAGCAAAATGCCGCCTACCTACTTTTGTTTATACAGAATGCACCTTTTTTCGGGGCAATGCGGGCATGAGCAAGTTACAAAATGTGTAGCTCAGCCTGTGACAGTAAACAGTGACGTATGCCGAGGGAAGCCGCAGCTAGTCAGTCCTTTGGTGATTCTTTCATAAGTTGGCCCGTCCTTCACCGTTCCTGTCATTTGATGATTAAAAACGGCCCAACATTCGCCGAAAATCTGGCAGTGTAAAAGGGGCTTATGACTACAGGGGTAAAGGGAAGTAAGAGAACAGCTATGTTCAGAAGATTACGTTATTTTACTGTAATGCAGCCTGTAAAACCAGGAATAGACAACACTTGAGATATCAAAAATCTAAGCCTATATCTAGTCTCATATCACCTTATCAGTATAATATTGAGCCCTATTTGCAATTAATCAAAATTACCTACTAAACTACTACTGTAATGACCGTACAGTGAACCTGGGACTCAGGCTTCTAATGGTTCAGGGCACCAGGGCATTTGCCCAGATGGTAATGTGGCCTTGTTGGCAGATGTGCAGTAAAACTGTTTGACAGGACACCTAAAACACAGTTCTGGTCCAGCTTAACTGAGTAGGTCTTTCAAATTAAATGACAAAACACTTTCTGTGTCCATGCCCTCTTGAACAACCATCCCATTCTCATCCCCAGGTCATCAAATACAGACACTTTGTGACACCCCTTGGCATGTGATATTGACACCAAAAGCACCCTTTCCACATCATTTCTGTGTTGATGATAATATTAATAGTAATAATAGGCCCTGTCAGATACTTGATCAGAAAGTTATGGACTCCGAATTCAAAAGGTTTGCTGTGACAAATAAATTAATTTAATCACTATATATGATAGCAATCCTTTGCCTGAACCAGAGAATCTGTATTTTTTCTTATACTTGACTTAAAATTCCAAATGCTTATTACATGGATTTAATAAATGTAGTAATGTACAGTTAAGATAATTACTGGCAAATGTATTTTTGTATCAGTGTGGGGGAAGGAAAGTAATTAAAATGATTTGCAAACTGTAACAGCATTCACACACTTTTCTCACTCGTGCATGGCCGTTAAAGTAAACAGAAAATACTAAACAACAGACTAACAATCTTAGATGATGTATACTGTAATGTTAGCAGCAGTGCAGAAAGTGTGACTACTAATAACACAAACATGTTCCGATACATGTTAAGATATCATCCTTGAGTGGGAACAAAAAGTAAACAGGACAGTGTTCACGCTGTCTTAGCAAAGCGCTACAGGATGCTTTCACTTTAAGTGTCTGTGCACTGCAGTCGAAAAGTCATTTTCACTTTGTAGGTGAGGTTACTTTATTGCGATACGGCGACACACATTTTGTAAATCGATTGCCCCACCCATAGTCCTATGCGAAAAGTAAATGTTGTTTCAAACATACCTACATACCATAACTTGCAGACTTACGTCCTGTGTAAAACCACAAGTTAACATTGTTTTAACATTATGTTGTGTATTTTGTATACGGTAATCCCTCATGTGACATATTCAGGTCTCTTTACTAGGGCTGTAGTCAACCAAAGAAAATCTTGGTCGACTAAAGTCGCACATAATCTTCAACTAATCGGTAAGTCGTGGGGAAAAAAAATCTGCACATTATTTTTACTTCTGTGGTGCTGTGTCTGGGTCACTCTCAGTGTTGCCAACTTAGCGACTTTGTCGCTATATTTAGCGACTTTTCAGATCCCTCTAGCAACTCTTTTTCAAAAAAGCGACTAGCAACAAATTTAGCGACTTTTTCTAATGTTATTGAAGACTTCTGGAGACTCTTGTGAGAGCACGTATCATTCTTAGTCTTCTCAACGGGCAGCGGATGCTGCCGTGAGCTCCTCTCTCGCCCCAAAGCACTCACAGACAGCCCAGTCCTCCCTCCCAGCTGCAGTCAGAGCAGGAGACATTAACCCCTCCACGTCCAGACTGCAAGTGAATCGCGCATGCGCGGAACCGCTGCTGGCTGATCCCAACCTGGTTTACAGTCAGGACAGGATGTAAATGTAAAATTTTCTTTGTCAAATATAAATCACTGAAAGAAAGTTCATTTGTAGTTCTAAACATATTCAGGGTGTTATTTTACTTTTTTACGTTTTTGTCTCTCCCACGATGTTATTCCTCTCTCCTACAGCATCCATTACAATTACATGCATATGGACAATTATGCAAATTAGGCGATGACATCATTGAGCGACTTCTAGCGACTTTTAGGACAGCCAATAACTACTTTTCTTACTGAGGAGTTGGCAACAGTGGTCACTCTGCAGTTACACCTCCAAAACGCTAGTCTGCGGTGGAGGACTCTGTTAAGTGCTGTAAAGTTTAGTTGATTCAAAACACACATTAAATATGGCTTAATAGAGACAATTTCAAACAAAGTACGCAAATTGGCTTCACTATAAATCGCAGCATTGACAAACACTTGTCTTTATCTGGATACATTTCCCCCACCAATACAACATGCTAACATTATTAGCACAAGTCTATGGCATTTAGTGATCCAACTACCTTACCAGCAGGAGGACATCATTTGTCTGCACCTTCCAAAAGCATTGCAAACTACGTTTGAAAATGTGTTTTATGACATAACATGTTTCTTTAAGAGGCTGTAATGGATGTTTTTATAACTACAATCTATCAAAGAACAAGGTCACTATGTGAAAGAGTTTCATGTGATGAAGCTACAGAGAATTATTACCTGAACCTACAGCTCCCCTCGTCTTCACAGAGCATTATAGTCAGAATAATAGTCTCCTATGTTAAAGTCTTGAGGCTTTGTTGACTGTCCTCCTCCCTCTGTGGACTTTGTCTCTCTATTACAACGTCAACTAACTTCCTTCTCTTCTCCCATTATAATTACTACAGAAACTAAATAGCACTGTCACTTAAACATAAACGTATGTTGTTTTGGGGCATTGCTAAAACAACCGATGCTGTCATTCGTTGGGAGACAGTCTCTTTCAAAACCACTGTTCAAAAGTTGTCAGCAACATCAATCTGCGGGTAACCATAGCAACCATACATCTATTCAATGCTAACTGGTGAAACAGACCTACACTGACCACACACACACACACAGCATCCTAAAAAATGGAGAGTGATTTAAGGGGGTACTTCTCTTTTTGTCAGTGCCTTCTTTGCCTTCACCTCATCCATTATTTTCTATGTCAGGACACCGTGTGTTATGCTTACTTATCATTTGATTTGGTATAATGTGTATGTGATATTTACATTGCAAAAAAAAAACAAAAAAAAAAACCCTGTAATCAAACTTAAAGTATGAGTACTGGGCATTTGGTCCGTGGAGTGTATCAGTGTAGGATTCTTTCCATCTTTGCCCCAGATAGCAGAATGAGACACTGTTCTTTTTGAGGTCTTATATCACAACATACTTCAAGATGCAGAACAGACGGAAAAGAAAGGACTCCTTTTCAGCTGCTTGATATCCTTAAAAATTGAGCACTTCTTTACTTTTTTAACAACATTGTCTTTTTACAACAACCTCATGTAGACTCTTACTCTGCCATTCTGTCTACAAAGAGAACAAAGAAAAACGACCCTCATTTTGTTAAGTCTCAGCTGAAGAAAAGTCCCTGACATTTCGCTAGAAA